CCAGGAGCCCCTAGTAGCTTTTTGCTCCTAGTAGCGATGCCCTTGTTACTAGTAGCGATGCACTTGTTCCTAGTAGTACGCCCAGGAGCCCCTAATAGCTTTTCGCTCCTAGTAGCGATGCCCTTGTTACTAGTAGCGATGGACTTGTTACTAGTTTGTCAAAGCATCCTGAATAGCATTGAATTCATAACAGGTCAATGCGTCATAGCCTTGCAGTTTGCAGCCAGTTTGCAGCCTTGTTCAGTCATCACTGCGGTTATTTGTGCACCTGGAGCTTAACTAGCTTCTGGCAGATTGCAGCAGCGCTGAAGACCTTGGGCGATCGTGAGGAGCCAGAAACACTGGGGATTAACAGCAAATTATGTCGAACAGTTTGCTCTAAAGTTCTGAATTCAGTTGATCGTTTTGCTGTTCAGAAAAAGGAAAGAATACATTCAAGGAATGTCTAAAGGTCTAAAGATTGAACTTTGCAACACGATAAATTGCACGAAAAGAGAACCAGAAGCGAGTGAATTCACCGGCATGTTGAGCCCCGAGGAGTGCATCACTCTCGCAATGTCACCTTCCCGGGCACAGTGGGGTATTGGAGTGAGTATGAAAGGCACGAAACAAATGAACAGCAAATCGAACATTTACAGTTCTGTGGTGAGAACACCGCATTGACATAAACGATCGCAGGCATTAGTTGTTCGAGAAAAGGCCGATGTGTTTCAAGAGGGTTATGAGCCCAAACCATCGCCTTTAGACCATGGACCGGTCGCGCTCGATGCCGCCGATAAACCATGGTGGTCCGAAAAGGTCCAGCAGGAAGCATGGCTTAGGCACCATCGACCTGAAGACCTTCCTGTGCCGCATGACGGCGATCTCGAAGACGGTGGAAACGCCGGTTGGACTGGGAAAGGTCGTGGCACCTCGACCGGGGGAGGACGGGTTTTTGTGACTCCCCCCAGTAACCGGATCGATGTCTGAGGGACGCGGAGGACATGGCGGTGGGAAACGGTCAGAAGGCTTGTTGCCTGAGGCAGACACGGCTAGTGCGCCTCCTACAAAAGGGCCAATGGGTCCTAAGCCCCCTGAACATGTTCAAGAATCCAAAGCCGAGATGGTCATCATGGAGCTGGAGCACATCAAAAGGAAGCTGGTCGGGAGGTTCTGACGTCGACGCCTTCGTCGTGGGAGCAAGTAGATGGGTTGAGCAGACCTCAACAAGGGGAAGAAGAAGTGGGTAGCCGTTCGAGGGCTGGGGGTGTCCCAACCAATGACCAAAGGCCACCTCCGAAGAACCATGTTGAGGGTCCTCGCACTCCACGGGGGAGAAGTCCCACAACCAGAAGGGGGCAGTCAGATCATCCGGCAGTTCGCTATACGCCAAATGGCGCCCAAATTCCGGCTGGACCTCCTCCTCCGCTTCCGGAAGTTCCAATGCCTCCTTTTGCACCTCCGGATCATGGCAACTCGGCTGAACTTAGTTTTCTTCAGGGCTATGAGACCCTGGATGGATTTCACCGCCGACAAGGTGACCAGCAATGGCTGCCGCTCGGCTTGCGAGAAGGGAAGGCTTTCGAGCCACGGGGACACGTGTTCGAGCCTCGGGATGATCGTGCTGCTCGGCTTGAAAAAGAAGTGGAAGTGTTGAGAGCTTCCATGGAGCGGCTGCAGGACACCTCGCAAGGACCTGGTCGCACTGCTTCATGCTCCAAAGATTTTCATCCTCCTTCCTCACATGGTCTGGGTAGTGTTGGCCTGCGGGGACGTGACCTCCATGGTCACACTGCTGGGACGGCGTGGAAGATAAAGCCGCTCGGCGCTGGATCTGCGGTGGCAAGGTTGAAATCCCTCAAAACTCCACGGCTGAGGACGATCCAACTTAGTCAATTGGATCGTGAGGTGAAGGGCATGGTTCTTTTGGTGCGGGCATGGTTCTTTTGGATTCAGGTGCAACACATGCCCTCAGACCAGCTCGAGATCAACAAGAGTGGCATGAAGCTCATCCCACACAGGTGACCTTGGCGGACGGCATCACCGACAAGCTCCGCCTGAAGCAAGACTCAAAGGTGCTTCTTTCAGCTCCATGTGATGAAGAATGGAGCCAGTCGTGGATCATCCCGCTCGGCGGCATTGCGGAGTTGGGGTACAAGTTTGAGTGGAAGAATGCTCGATGCACCTTGTCGGATGAGCTCACGGCAGCGGTTCACCATGGTTGCCCTATGGTCCCCTGTGATGTGGGCCAGGCAATGATTGACCGTTTGGAAAAACAGCGGATCAGGCTTCTTCGAAAAGCCCAGCTTCTGAAGTCAATGATGATGGATCCATCCGTGGAGATGATGCAGTCCATTCAACAGTCCACGGAGATGGCTCTGACGTACAAGTTGAAGACCTTGTTCAAGGCCTTGCCGGATGACATTCTGACGCGGGTCATCCCAGATCATGGCTGATCTTCAAAGCCTGGATGGAAACCGCCTCGCTTGGAACAGGCGAAAGCGCCGCTGCTTGGAGCGTGCCAAATAGATAGTGGTCCACTTGTTCTCTGGCCCGGACTCCAAGTATTGGGAAAAGACAATTTAGCAAGGTAGTGTTGAGATGCTATGCATCGATTTGCAGGCGGAAGTCTGCCCACCTTGCAGGACGGTGTCAGCCCTGAGCCACCAAGAGGATGGTGGACCGGGCATTTTAAGGACGGAAGAGCATCCGTATGGTCTGCCGACTTTGTCTTCATCGGAACAGGCCTTGGTCGCTGGCGATAGTGTTTTGCTGTATCGGACGCTGGCTTTGTACATGTTGCGCGGGGGCCGTCCGCCATGAACAGGAGCCTCAAACGGCCTTGGCTGTGGAACAACGTCAAGCTGTTGCATTTCGATCAGGGTCCCATGGGCCATGTGAAGAAGAAGCCAACAACGTTAGCGGCGGTGCATCGTGACATTCAAGCACTAGATGGAGTGCGTGGTCCACCCAGTGGAGGTGAAGCAGGTGAATGGAAGATCGCCACCGTATGTCCATAAACGAACGGCGCGATGACTCCAAGACATGGGCATCTTGGGCGCCAGGCTTGAAGGTGGCGCTCGTGCTTGCTCTACAAGATCATCTCAACACAAGTTCTAAACCGTCATTGGAAGCGGCACTTAGACCACTTGGTCAGGTGGCTTTGGAGGGGTGGCGCAATCACTACCTCAATGACCACATGCCGGCCCGTCGACTGCATGCACTGTGTTAAGGCTTCAGCTCGAAGCAAACCTCATCGTCGCATCAGCCATCCCGAAAGCTATACATTGAGTGTTGACCTCTCCGGAAAGATGGTGGTGGGCCAGGGTCAAAGTCGCCATGACTGTCGCTACATGATGGTAGCTGTCTACACCTTCCCGGTGGGCGGTTCAGGACGGTGGAATCAGTCGAGTCTTCACTGTTGGTACAAATACACTCCCACTGATCCTGGACGTGATGATCCTGGGGTGGAGTATCTACCAGAAGAAGCGCTTGGCCTGGATGAGATTCCGGGGAGGCGGAGAACAAAAGTCGGTCGGCTTTCGAGGCATGGCAGGAGGAGGTGGAGGTGGCTCAGGATGTGACGGTCCGCAACCTCACGTTTGTAGAAGTTCTCCCTGGCAGAGCAGTTCAGCACATCTTGCCAGCCTTGCCTCGCATCTACGCTCGGTTGAGGAGCCTTGGATTGCCGTTGTATCGGCTTCATTGTGATCGTGCCCGTGAACTGATCTCTGCTCCTGTCCGCCGATGGACCTTGGACCGCGGGATTGTGGCAACACTGGCCTCCGGAGGGTTGAAAGTGAGGTGAAGAAACACATCCGGACCATCCTTGCCACCACTGAGATGAGTCTGGATAGCTGGCCATTGGTGAGAGAAGGCTTCGTGGCCAACTCAGGAGCCCTGGAATTCCAATTGGGCCTTTGCTCCAGTTCGGTGCTCGGGCTTATGCTTTGAAGAAGTCCTGGCAAGACCGCTATGAGCCATGGAGGGAGATTCGCGACGAGGCGGTCGTCTTGGGATGGTGGAAACAAAAAGGTATTTCTACACTGACGGTGGTTCCACATGATCAGCCAGAGGGAGATCCTTGTTCACTTGCCCGAAATTGAGGGTGGTGAGGTGCACTCGAGGCCTCTTTGGGGCGGCAATGTTCCTTGACGCCGACGTCGGGAAAAGACGGCTATCCTTTCCATATCCATGTTGCACATGGAGGGGGAGACAAGCAGCCGGGTCCAAAATTGGTTGCGCGCCCATCGTGATGCCTTTGATGTTCACGCACCGAATGACGCAGAGTTGTTTCGCTCGGAATGGAGCAGCGATAGCTGGACAATCGAGACACCGTCGAGAACATCATCCAGCGCTGGTGAAGGAGACTCCCAAGGCACCGAAATAAAAGGTTTCCACGTCCGCTCAAACACGACCATGAAAAAAGCACCCCCAAGTCCATGGGGGAGTTGGAGGCTGCTCCGTTTCACGCAAGCAAACCTGTCTGAGTACGTGAAGGAGGAGATGAACCATCTGGACATCACCAACCTCGAGCAAGGGTGGTACATGGGTGCCTTGTCGGAGGCCATCATCCGCAAGGTGGAGGCAGAGGAACAGCTCCTTCAACACTGCCAAGAACAAGAAGAGCTGACTGGCAAAGAGCTGGAGAAGGGGTTTCGACCATCAGTAATCGTGAAGTGATGGAGGACTTTGAGAATTGGATTCCTTCCGTCAAGGCCGAATATGAACAGCTCGTGACCACTAAGGAAGCAGATTCAGCAGACCGGCAAAGATGGTCTACACCAGGAAGGCTGGCGCAGGTGCCCGAAGAGCAAGAGCAGTCTGTTGCGGCAACTACAGTGAGTCGCGCTTCAATGCAGACTGCTATGCAGGTGGAGCAGATGGCTGCCAGGTTCGTGCTTTGGTCCGTACTGCGGCACTCCGCGGTTGGACTGTGGCGGCCACAGACATTTGCGTCGCTTTTCTCAACGCTCCTCGTCGAAAAGATGGAAAGTTGGTGGCAATGGAGATTCGATGCATCGGTGTACAAGCGGCTTGGCTTGGCAAAGGATCGGTGAGGTTTGGCTGGTTCGTCTGGCAATGTATGGCCTCACTACGTCTCCACGGGACTGGTCGAAGCACCGTGATGCGACCCTGCCAAGTCTCAGCTGGGTTCGCATGAAGATCGCAAGCTCCGGGGCCACTTCATCAAGACTGGGGAGGAGGTTGACCTTGAGTCAGGCGAAAGTCATTGGACAGGTCTAGCGTCGATCTATGTAGATGACATTCTGTTGTCGGGGGAAGAAGCAGCTTTGTCAGCGGCTTTGGCTTCGCTGCAAGCCACATGGACTACATCAAGTGTGGTGTGGGCATCTCCTTCAACACCGGTGCATTTTTGTGGTTTTGAGATCAAGTCTGACAGTGAAGGAGATGGATACCACCTGTCGCAAAACAAATATGAGCAGGAGGTCATCGCTCGTTGGGAAGTTGGTGTGCAGTAGCCTTCCCTCACTTCAAGATCACGGAGACCGACATGGACTCTCAAGAGGAAATTGACCCCCAAGAAGCACAAGCCCTGGCAGGCTCTCTGCTCTGGCCGTCAACAAGATCCAGACCGGATCTGACTTTTGGCGTGGCCACTTTAAGCAGGATGGTCACGAAGAATCCGGCCAAAGCCATTGAGATAGGGCGGATCCTCTGGGCCCACGTCAAAGGCAATCCCGGCGACTTGCACTATTCGCGGGTGATCAAGAACAAGTGGGGCCCTCGTGATCAGTTGAAAGTACCTCGTCGCGAGATGCTGCTCGAGGTGTTTGCTGACATCGTCTATGGCACGGGCTCCGGACATAGAAGCATTCAATGCTTCGGCGGGTCCCCAATTGCTTGGCAGAGCTCCTCGCAGCCCTTTGTCACTCACAGCACGGCAGAGGCCGAACTGGTCTCATACTGTGAAGCATTGACTGCAGGTCGTGCGATTGAAGCGCTGATATGCACTATGTGGGGGGAGCCATGACAAAGCCGTTAGCAGGCCGGAGCTTCGCTGGTTTTATGCATGATTTGGGCGAGATTCAGGTGAAGGGTTTGGCTTTGGGTCAGGGAACTCCCCAACAACCAGATCACAGCATGGCGCTGAGAACGCTTTTTGTTGGAAGTATGATGGTCCGTGCAGCCGAAGCTCAAGGAGTTGAAGAACCCGAAAGTGCCTTCGGGAACTTGTGGCTTTGTGGTTTAGTCCTGGTCGTCATTGGGGCAATCTATGTTGGCAGAGTAGTGCTTTCATCAGTTCACTGCTGCCTGAGAAGATTGCAAGCGGTGTCCGGGGGGCCGTTGGAGCCACAAGGACCATATGAGGCTGACAAGTTGGTTCACCCCGTTGAGACAGAGGAGGGCACGGGGGGCAAGGGCGTTTGACAGCGCCTCGTGAAGATGATGACGCAGAGTCCACCGAGGAGGATGCCATCGAGGACGGCAGGACACACACCAAGGGGTCAAAGACCACGTGTTCAAGTGATGGTGGCGCAAGCACAGGGATGCCATCATGTACAAGGTCGTGGGCGATCTTCATCACATCAGAGATCTTTGTCCCGGCCTTTGAAGCGACAGTCGGGCCCGCGGCCAAGCGCTTCTTCACGCTCGCGGCCAAGCGCTTTTTTCACGGAGTATGCAGCAGCAATCGGGCTCTTCCAGCGAAGTGGTGGTTCAAGCGGCTAGCGAAGCCGCGGAGGGAGCCGAAAGAGCGGCCGAATGTGCACAGACGGCAGCTGATCGAGCCGCTGATACGGCAGAAGCTGCGGTTGAAATTCTGCACAAGGCCATGAAGAAGGTGCCAGAGCACCTCACGACCAAAAAGGTCGCGCAGGGTCCAATGAACCCGTGGAATAGATTTCAACAGCTTAATGCTGGCAAGGGTTGGTTGCAAGAGAAGATGCGAGCCGAATACTATCGTGCAAAGTGTCACACCAACGTATAATGCCTTGAGCCTAGACACTTTTGCTTTTTCTCCAAAGATTTCAGCAATGGCTGAAAGGGGGAGTCTGTGGTGAGAACACCGCATTGATATAAATGATCGCAGGCATTAGTTGTTCGAGAAAAGGCCGATGTGTTTCAAGAGACAGTAATGATAGTTGAAGATGTTGCTCTTGAAGAACGCAAAACATCTTTCAACGCTTGGTGTATTGGACGTTGGCTGTTGAAGGCACCTTGCGGCACCGCGCAGCCAAGTTGGCCTTGGCAGCGCATTTGGCTCTGGAGCAAGCGGAGTTTGGCGAGGCGCGGGCACCGCTCCAAGGCCCCGCTTCAACAGGCTCTAGCCGCTCTAGATGGCTCTAGCGAGCTGAAAACCACCAGCTTTTGCATTTGGGTGCATTGCTTTGCGTGAGGAGTTGCCAGATCTCTCTGACGTAGCATCATTTGCAGACTTCGTAGAGGAGCAGCTTTGGCAGATGTTGTTGTTTTTTGGTTGAGAGTAGATGTTGGACGTTTTTTCCTTCTGGGTGCACGTTGCTTTCCTAAGTCCGAAGGAAGCGCGTGACAGCCGTTCATGAGGGATGCTTTGAGCCTGTCACATAGGATCGGTTGTGTGCTGACTTTGATTTTTTGAAGCTAATAATGTGCTCAGTGCGCTGTTTGAACATGATTGAAACAATTTTTGGTTAAAAACCTTCTTAAGGTCCAAAGGCGAGAAGAAAGGCGCAAAACAAGAAAAGTAAACATTGACATAAAGATGTTCCTGCCAACAGTTCAAAATGCTGTTTCACTTCTCAGCTGCCACTCAACAATCAGAGACTTTCAGGAAATGGAATCCGATAGAGCGGCTTGCTTGGCAGTTGATGTGCGTCAAGCAAGGCTGGGCTGCAAGGTGTTTGATGGTGTTTGTCCTGCTTTTGTTGTCTTTGCTTTGGCATTTCAGTTACTCCATGCTCAACAAAATTTCCCACTTCTGAGGCCTCAAGCTTATCCTGCTGTGAGCAGTCCGAAAAGGAATTACAAAAAAGATAAGTAAACTTCGGACAGCAAAGAGAAATGGCAAAGAGAATTCGGAAGTTCAACGATGGCCAAGGAATCTCGCTACAAGATGCCGCATATGAAAGCATGCTTTCCAGCTACTACCCCACTAAGTTTATAATCTACTATTAGGTTGGAGTTGGAGGCCATTGCACTTAGGTTCCTGTTGCTAGTAGGTTGGAGGCCATCGCTCTTACGGGTTGAAGTCGAAGTGAAAATTCGACTTGTGGAGCACTGTGGAGCCATCCTGGCTCAGTGTATGATGCCGATGCAGCATGTGGCGACGGACAAATACTGATGTAGGGTGACATAGTGGTCGGAGTTGCACAATCCGCTGCCAATGACATGTATGCAGTGTGTTGTGCCCAGCCAATTTCTTGCATGGATTTGCTATGATGTGCTATATGTTTCAATGAATGCAGGCTTTGTTGAAAACAGTGCTACACGCCAAAACTTTCCTTCGAGTCCAAACTTGGCGCCGCTCCCTTATGTCATGCCGCCGCCTGGGAGCTCAGTTAAGGACTCACAAGAGGTTGGTTTTCACTCCGTTTGGAACCAGCATGCTGGCCCGTTTTTGTGGAAGTTGTCAAACTTGTTCTGTCGGGTTCGGAATCAAGGAAAGCTAGTCAAGAAGTCCCGCGTTGAGAGAGCGAAGACAGTGATGGAATATGATGGAATAGCGCAGGGCATTCGCTCATGTGACATGAACTGGAAGGGGATGCGCTAACATGAAACATCGCTGTGTTTATGCAAGTGGTCAGGTGGTGTTTAGCAATACATATATAGAATATATAGAATGTACCAAGTTCCTGGTGCGTTGACTACAGTGTGACTTTAAAGTCGAAAGTCCGAGTGGAAGAAACACCTGCATTGCCACTAGGTTGCAGCCTATGCTCACACCCTGCATGGGCAAGATCATCTTACACAGCTAAACATTTGACATCCTTTTGGAGTGCCGGGTGTGCCATGCCTTTCTAGTTATCTATACAGCTTAAACGGACCTCAGCAACTGCCGACGCATGGAACAGAGGTATGGCGTTCAGAGGCCAAAAGAATTCACATATATCCACGTAAGCAAAAGAGGAGCAGGTCACTGAAAGGAAAGTCAAACCTTGCAATTAGAAATAACAATACAAAAGAAAAAGGAAGTTCTCAAGGTTCAAAGAGAAAATGACAGGCAGAAAAGACATGAGAAAAGAGACAAGATTTGTGATTTGGAAGTTTATCATCAGTCTTCACTGCGGCAAAGCACAGCAGCAGTCTTTCATGATTTTCATGGTCCTCCTACTCGCAAAGCAACTGCCAAGGATTGCTGGGGGATTTGAACAAACATGTTTGGTCAGTGCACACTACAGGCTATCCTACCACAATGCCAGTGGCTGGATAAATAATTACTGTGACTCAGTAGAGCCGCGGCTATCAGGAAATCCGCTCCGCAGGAGTCTGCTGGAATTCCAGTTTTACAAGGGAGGATTGAGATCTATATATCACCACAAATCGTCTCCTGCTTCATGTGATAGAATCAAGTCGAACCCCTCTCCCCTTCAGGTATTGATTTGGGATTTACTTCAAGGGGCAGGGCCTCCTCCCCCTTAAAAGCTGCTTTCCAAATCTTTCCAAATGGATTTGGGACCAAATGGATTTGGGACCAAATCATGGTACCTGTGGATGCTTGGAGTGATGTGGAGTGTAAGGATGTGATGTGTTTGGGGGGTTCTTCTGCAGTGAAGTGTTGGTGATGTGATGGGCGCTGATTGGTGGTGTGTGTGTGTGTGTGTTAAACCCTGTTTCTCAGGGCTGTTCATGTGCAGGGGGCCATCCCTCTCACTAGTGGTGGATGGCCACCAAAGAGGCCACCGGTGAGGGCTGTAAACGTACCTGCACAAACACGCCAACTCCAATGGTTCTCCCTCTGCGGTTTTGTTGTTTTCATGGTGGTTCTCATGCTATTCCCCTAAACCTGCCCCCGCAGAGTTGCTGCAGCTGCGATGTCGCGAGAGCGCTTGAACATTTAGCCAACATTTCAAGTACTGTTGCCGACTCAACCGCCTTGCGTTTCTCTCATCCCTTTCCTTGTGGACTATGGCACTGGATGAACCTGTGACTAAGTGTGTTTCGCTGTGCTTTCCGACCCTCTTGGGTGCGCAGTGTGATCCTCTCGCAAGAGAGGCGCCGAAGCCTTCGTGTATCCCAAGTTGGTTCAGCGTCTTGAGTTCGTGGATTATGGTTTGGTTTGTTTTGTTTCACCCATGAGTCAACTGAACCATATGCTGCCGGGCTCACGGACCAAGTGCCGCCGGGCTTACGGAGAATGAACCCCGACCCCCACCCCTTCCCCTCTTTCCTTCTTGCGGCTTCTTCGTTTGTTAGGTGTTTCTTCAGGCTTTTTAGGTTGTTCTTGAGGCTCGTTTCTGTGCTCCTCGTTTTTCGCATTACTTCTGGCTCTGATTGGAGTAACAGAAGGAAATTGGTACTCGACACACTTGTGTTTCGGTACCTTTCCTTCTGTTGTCCCTTTTCTACACTGGGGTGCCGAAAGTTGCGCTTCTTGACCTCTAAAACGGGACAAACCCCTTCTCCTTTTAATCCTACGTGCAACATGTCGGTCAGATTTCCACATCTGAAAGCCTTTGAAAAATTAAACGTGAGTGGAAATCTGACCGTGCTGTACCTGCCAGGCAAAATGGACGTGACAATCCAATCCGCTGTGGGTCGCAAGTGTCATGTTGGAACAGAGTAAGAAGCGTAAACTTTAGGGTTCTTGAAGTAGTCTACTCTACCCCGGCGGTTTAAGACTAAAGTCCTGCTCCCTAACCATAGCACGTAATTCAGGACCACTAAGTATTCAGTAACTAGTTTTACCTTTTTTACTACACCTACCTTTCTCTCTTGCCCTCTTCGTTATCTCTTTCTGTCTTTCTTTCCTTCCTAAGGCTTGTTAGGTGCCTATTCAGGTTTTGCCTCCGTAATTTGCCGTTCGTTCGGCAGACATGCATGGCCTTTTACACCTATCTTTCTTTTTTGCCCCTTTCTTTTTGCTGTTTCTTTTCTTTTTCCGTTCTTTTTCTAAGGCTTGTTAGGTGCCTATTCAGGATTCTGCCGACATGCGCACCGCGGGTGCGAGGGTGCGCCGCGAAGCAGCCACATGTGCGCGTTAAACCCTGTTTCTCAGGGCTGTTCATGTGCAGGGGGCCATCCTTCTCACTAGTGGTGGATGGCCACCGAAGAGGCCACGGGTGAGGGCTGTAAACGTACCTGCGCAAACACACCGACTCCAATGGTTCTCCCTGCGCGGTATTCCCCTAAACCTCCCCCCGCAGAGTTGCTGCAGCTGCGCTGTCGCGAGAGAGTAGCCAACATTTCAAGTACTGTTGCCGACTCAACCGCCTTGCGTGTCCCTCATCCCTTGCCTTGTCTGTCTCTAGGAGTTCTTTCTGTTTGTTGTTTTTTACAATGACCAATGAGGAACGTAAAGCAGGGGGGGGCCAGAGATGCACATTGGACTGGCACCAAAATCAGTCCGGGACGCTGGATTGACCTACCCGCTCTGAGAGAAACCTAGGTATGGCCAAAGCTGTTTTCTTCTTTGTTTTGCAGTAATCGACTGGTGCAGTGAAGGGCTAGTGCATCGGCGAGCCACTTTCTGAAGCTAATGCTCATTCATTTCAGCTATGAGTCTAAGTGTGACCAGCTGCATCTTCCCACCTGGGTGCGCAGTGGTCCCCGACTGGGGCGCCGAACTCACCACTGAACCTTTCTGACCAGAGCGCATGCGTCGAGAGCCACTCACTGATCAGCCCGATTGCAAGGATCAGCTGACCCAACAACTGCGGAGCACACGGGAACCGATCACTGAATCTTCGGGTTTCTGATCTTTCGATTTGCGCCGCAGTGCTGATGAGCATGACTTTCTCTCCTTCCTTTGCTCTTGCTCTTTTCTCCCTTTCGTTCTCTCGAGGCTTGTTAGGTAGTAATTCCAGGTAGGTTGCGCCGATACCGGCTTTCTCATCGCCAGCTTTTACTGGCACCGGTTTTGAGCGCACGAGAATTTGCCATTTCGGCGCCCAGTCGACCTTTCTCTCCTTCTTTTCGATTCCGTCTCTTCTCTCGCTTTCTTGCTCTTCTAAAGGCTTTTCGGTTGTAATTTAGGTTTTTGCCAAGCATTTGTATAGCAGGGGTAATGCTTCTAGAACAAGTAATGCCTAAGCTGTCTCATGCGTTGTGTCCTCACCTTGGCGCGCCGCTTTGCGGCTGCTTGTGTGCGTCAACCTCCGTCTCTGGGAGTTCTCTCTCTGTTTGTCGTTTTTTACAATGACCAATGAGGAACGTAAAGCAGGGGGCGCCAGAGATGCACACTGGACTGGACTGGCACCAACGAAGACGCCAGTGTTGCATCTGTTAAATCAATCCGTGACGCTGGATTGACCTACTTGCTTGTTGAAAGGGAAAGAGAGAAATATCAAGAGTTGCTAGAATGGCCTGCAAAGAAATGATGCAAGAAAATTGACTATGGTGGTAGAGTGAGCTCCAAGTAGCAATT